ATTTATTCATGAATGTCTATTTTGTCCCCTTCAAAGTTGTCCCCATCAGATATATACCTGTGCCAACGTTTCTCCCAATCCTCGAAGCACTTCAAAAAATTATGTTTTGTGATCTTGTTAAACTCCTCTTTCGATGGCGCCTTTATCTCGTCAATCGTAGTGTAGCGTTGTCCTTTCATGGGCCTCTTCAGTTTCCGGAACAGAAAAAGTAACAAGGAGCCAGATCTGGCGAATACGATGGCTGGGGTGTTTTGGCCAAAAATTCGCGCACAAACAACGATGTGTGAGTATCGGTGTTATCTTCGTGCAAAAGCCAACTTTTGTTCTTCTACGATCCGGACGTTTCTGGCGGATTGCTTCACGCAAATAGCGCATAACTTTCAGGTAACATTCCTTATTGACCGTTATACCCTGTGGAAAAAACTGATAAACCAAAAACCTTCACATTCCACCTAAATTGGCGCACTTTTTTCGGACTTGGCTCGTGAGGTAGCTTCTATTGGGATGATTAAGGTTAATATTTCCACGTCATAAGCATTAACCCATGACTCATTATCTCTGGAATATTTGGGTCGTCGCCGACAGAGTCCAACAGCTCCTTAGCAATGTAATTGCAATGGTGTTTTTGGTCGAAATTGAGCAATTTTGGTACGAATTTTGCGGAAACCGGTCTCATGCCCAAATCATTGGTAAAAATCGAATGACAGGAGCCAATTAATATGTTTAGGTCTTTGGCAACTTCTGTAACGGTGATTCGGAAGTTTTACCGCTAATACTATTTTCTTCACTTCATCAACGTTTTCGTCTGTTGTTGACGTACTCGGGAGTCAGGCACGCTCTTCGTCGTTCACATCTTTTCGGCCATCTGGGAACAATTTCTACTACCGATAAATGTTGCTTCGGTCCGAGGTAGCTTCACCATATGTCACAATCAACTTTCGGAATACGTCAGCGCACTTAAGTTTGTTTTTCAAAATTTGATATCGACACTTAAGGGACTGAACATTTTTCGGCGTTATGGAGAGTGGTCGTTAAATGGAGAGAAATAAGAGATATTATTTTACTGTTCTATAATAATGTGCATTTACCAATATAGTACCTACACATTTTTCACACGAACATTATTATTCATACATTGCGTATAGCCTGTTATCTTCGTCTGATGTTTTTTGCTGCTCCAATATTTTAACTGTATTTGGTTACGTATCTTACTCATATCTTGAGATACTGCTGAATCAATTTGATTATATAAAAAGTATTTTTTTAATAGTTTCGCTGCATCAAGTGCTTGTTTGATGCTTGGTGGAGGGACAGGATCGTCTTCTTCAATAACGTACACAGCTGCAATTCTTATCTATTTCGGCAACTTGGAAAGTACTGCTCAATGATTTACAATTCCGCATTGTTGTCGTTAAATAGAGTGAGCGTGACGCTATATAGAGTGTAATATTGTATAGAAAACAATGTAAACCAACCAAAGTCAAGCAATTTCGACATTTTAAGGAGTTTGTCTTTAAATCGAGTGACGTTATAAAGAGTTTACACTGTATTTAAAAATATTTCAGTAAAAGGGATAATTTGGATGAGCTCGATTTCAACTTTACGATTTTATGAACCTTTCGGATTTTAGATTAGAAAATCAAAAGAAATAGCGAGGCATGTCGTGCATTGAATAGTTTGCCAAACGGTTCAATTGATTAACTAATTTGTTAGTCAAATTCCTAACTAGATATTTGACAGACTAATAATTTTGTCTAAACATCGAGATCCACTGGAATTACCACAGGTGGCCCCTGTAAACATGGCACCGCAGAGCAACTGTTACCAACCATCTCTTGGACCTATTTATCAAAGCCTACAATTAGCAAACTTGTCACTAACAAGGCGCTAACGGAATTTCGCTCGTGCTACCTACTGCGTTCAACATTGTAGACCCGCAAATTATTTAACCTTCCCACCCTACGCAACAATACATTAAGAGAAAAGATTAAAAGCCCAAACGGATTCTTATAATTCTGACAAACAAAAACAATCATTAAATGATGGGGATGTCGTATTGTTCATGGATTTTTCGTAAATCAATTGCTGAAACATTTTAAAATATCAAAATAAAACAACATTTGGTAAAGTTTCACAAATTTTATTTAATCATCAATAGTCAAGACTGTGCAGACTCCAGAGTCTTGATGATGATAACTATCGAAACAGCCGTCGACGCCTATTAAATAAAACTAGGTGTTTCATATTTATTTTAACTAAATAAAAACATTTTTCCATTTTCCATAATGTACAATGAAGGGGGAGGGCATATTTTGGTCTTTGGGGTAGTAATAATTTTCAAATATGCCGTTCAGTTATGAACCATGCCAACTGGAAAGTTAAGGGTGCGTACCGCTCGAACCGTCATGTTGATTAATAGATACAAAAAAAAAATTTTTTTTTTAAATAACTATAATGGTTGATTCAACGACGAAAATGTTCAATACATAACGAGTTATGCAGTAGATTTGGACATTTGGAGTCAGTAGTGGTAAAGAGCTCCAAATTGGAAGTGCGGTTTAAGATGAATAATGACTAGTGAAATAAGGTGGTTGATTTGATGTTTGAAGTGGAGTTGGAGTTTTAATCAAAAGGGCTTGTTTAGTGAAATAGTTATAAAGGATTTCTGTGATTTTTGGAGACATATTGTCCTTCGAAAGATTGACCGATGATTTATAAAGTAAAATTTAAAGAGAATAGTATAAAAAGTGGGTTGCTCGAAAGACAGAAACAAACATTGGTACACTGATGGAAGAAAATAGCAAAAGTGAAAACAACTACGTTAAAAATTTGGTTGAACAGCGAATAACAGGAGGTGGAAAATAAAAATAAAAAGCGTACAGACAAGAAAATAAGAAATTAAAAACGAAACATATAGAAAAACCTGAGAGTGAGGAAATGGATATAGTAAGGAAATTACTAGAAAAAGTAAAGGAAGAGAACCAACAAAAATGGAAAGAAAATGAGGAAAACAGAAAAAAGCGAGTCAGAAGAAAAAGAATATGGGAAAACTTGGAACAAAAGCTAGATAAAATGCAGGAAGAAAATAAATGAGTAAAGCAAAAGATGAAAAGACTAGAGAAGGGAAAATTACAGAAACTAGAAAACCGATTGAACGAATATAATGAAGAAAGCTATAAGGAATGATTTAAGGGGAAAGAAACTATTTCATATAGGAAGTGAAGAAAATGGTACTAGAGGAGCTGGAGGTAGAAGAGAATGTAGGAAGACAAGCAAAAGAACAAAAAATGAATAAGGAGACTCGAAAGTAGAAGGGAAGAAAAAACAAAATCTGCTATTTTTTGGAATTGAGTTAGAAGAGGATCAAGAAAAGAGGGATTTATAAAGGAGAATATGGGACTAAAGGTAGAAGTAAAGTATAACGAGTTATGGCATGGTTTTTTGTAAAGGTTCAAATTTCAACAACAGCATCATCATCTTCATCATCATAACACTGGTTGGACACGCACCTTCACTTTTTCCTATTATGGGCTAACCTTCGCATTCCACTAATACTAGAACATCTTACATCCTTACAATTATTACAACTCCCGCTTTTGTAGTGTAAAACTTCCTATTAACTAATTTATGGAATAAATTAGATACGTATATAAGTTTTAAGGAAAATTTCCAAAACTGCTTGAACTTTAAGATATCATATACTATATGTTTTTCAATGGGTATTAAAGATAATTAAACAACTAAGTGCAGTAATCGTTGCAATCGCTGTAGTTTGTGCTTTATATTGTCATACTTGGTTAACTTCCTAAACTAGAAACAAGATCTCAATAAGATTATGAATCTTTAGCAGTGTAATGGCAAAACTTTAATCGGTTTTTAACCCCATCTGTATGTTTGCCACCCAAATGCGCAAATTTATTTCATGAAAAAATAATAATTTTATGTTTCGCTGCAGGGTTGAAGTGGGAGTATCATATACATAGAAACAATCCTTTCGTTCTAATATTTATCCGAAAAAAAAATCATTACCAAAGTATTTTGTTAGAGTCCGGTCGGTCAGGTGGCCTTCAGTATCCATAATCCTGAGTAATTTCAATTATTAACGTATTATTATTTTGATTATTCTTCTCCTATTTTGTAATCAGTTTTTAAAAGAATTGAATAATTCGAAGTGGTCTGTATTCTGTCGAAACTGTCAGACGCGGATCGCGATTTCGATCTTTTTGGATCTCATCAGCGCGTCGCAGGCAGCTCCGACAGAACACAGACCAACTTTTACCTGCTGTATTAACAGTGCGTTTCAGAAAATACTACAAACGGCACAGTGAACGCAATCTGTAGCACTGTTAAGACAGCAGGTAAAAGTTGGTCTATGTTCTGTCGGAGCTGCCTGCGACGCGCTGATGAGATCCAAAAAGATCGAAATCGCGATCCGCGTCTGGCAGTTTCGACAGAATACAGACCACTTCGAATTATTTTATTCGATTAAGCTAACGTGCCTATCACGTTGAAGTTGGCTACGCCGGGATTCGTTTTCAGCAAGTAGATATCCACACAAGTGACCTTGTTGGAGCATACGTAATCCTAAAATATAGCATCGTGCTACAGATGGCGTTCACTGTGCCGTTTGTAGTATTTTCTAATCAGTTTTTGTTTAATCAACGCAATATTGGGGTTAAAAGTACTTTATTTAAAAAACCACAGTCGATGTTTCGCCCAGGTTGTAGGTCTTCCTCAAAGCTACAATTTTAATAAGAATAGGCCACATTGATCTTTCTTCCAGAGTTAGCTAGTTTTGTTTAGTTGAAAATATAGTGCTGATGGATTTTGGTTAAATGAGACATGCATTGGTCAATATTTTCGTTAATTACTGTACCATTCCTTAATAATTTCAATTATTAACTTATTATTATCGATCAATATTTTTAATTATTAGCAAATTATTGGTTATAATTAAATAGAGCAACAAATTTAAATTAAAATTAATTAATTTTTTTTAGTCATCGTAGTGCTAAAGAATGGTGGTTATACAATGCCACCGTTGAAGACTGGTTTGATGAAATGGTTGGACAAGCCAACATCATGCACAAATATTCAAAAATTCATATGGCCGACATCAGGGGATTGCGAGCGCCTTTTCTTAATCTCGGATGGAACCGGCAGTTTCTCATGATGAAAGAATTCGGATTTATTTATGACAGTTCTGTAATCGCACCTTCATCAAGCAAACCACTGTGGCCTTATACTCTAGATTTTGCCATTCCACACACGTGTAAAGGTAAACGTTTTCTTTTTATCATATTTTTATTTTTTTTTTAATATATCTGCATCGAGGCACCATGTTAGAGTAGGCATATCTAGTGATTTACAAAAATATAAAATACTGTACTTATAAGAAAGTGTTTTCAAAAGCTTTTTCGATTCAACATCATCATCATCATCATCATAAGGTCGTGAGTCTTAAGACTGGTTGGACACGCACCTCCACCCTTTCCTATCCTGAGCTAATCTTCGCATTTCCCTAAAACTAGAACATGTGGGATGTTCTTAATTATTTGCTAACACTAATCTAATCTACGTCTACCTCTACTCCTATCAACTCCTGGTTCTGTCTGTAATATGTCTCTGACTAGACTTTCATACCAATCTATCTATTTTTTAATGACTTCCATAGAGTCACCTGTCCTCCTATTCTTTCTAATACCTCTGCATTTCTAACTGCCACTTCTTCTAATCTTTCGTCTCCTATCTTTACATTCTACTTGTACTATCTTTAATGATTTTGATTGCGTCTTCGATGTATCGATTAAAAAGTAGCGGTGACAGTGTGGATCCCTGTCTGACTTCCTTCCTAATATTTATTTCTCTACGTTGCCTCTACAGCTCTATAACTGCCTGTTACTCTTTATATACAAACTAAGTAGGTATCACTCTACTATTTCTGTAACTCATTACTATATTTTTAAGTATATTTAACATCTTGTCCCATTTAACATTGTTAAAAGCTTTTCCTAAATCTACAAATCCTATGTAACTACTCTTTCATTTTTCTATCGTTTTCTCTATTGCTACCCGTAAAGCTAGAATATCCTCCCACGTTTTTCTATTTCTTCTAAACCCAAACTGGTCTTCCCTTAATAGTTCTTCTGCCCTTTCTTCCATACTTCTCTGTACAATTCTAAGTAAAATTTTTGTCTCATGGGAAGTTAGGCTAATTGTTCTAAACAATTACATATCTATTTTAACCAGAGAAAGTATCACGGCTGTTCTGATTTAACTTTCACTGTAATTTTCCGGTGTATTTTATAGGGGGTTTTCTCTGCCTCATCCTAAAGTCCAAATGCCTTGTTTGCTTTGGATAAATATAGTACAATTAAATACTTAACTTTTATGTGGCAAGCTTCGTATTTTCTAAATGATTAGTTTAGACATTTAATCGCACAAACAGTCTCGGGTTCATAATAATCACAGTGCCTCTTATTCAAAATTGCTTTTGTTTACTAGAGATGAGAGTATCTTTTACTTGCTTTCATTATTTATTTTTATTTACTTATTACCGTCTCCTTCGGTATCTATTCAGAACTTTCTAAACTAAATTCATTTCCCGCTACAAACAATGATGTACTGACTGGAAAGGTACCTAACTATTTTACCATTTGTAATTTACAGATAACGACGGAAATTGTCCTACAAACGCATTTCCGGGAATTTGGGAGCTTGTTATCAATCCATTCCAAGTCGGTCAAAGTTCTTGTTCTCTGCCATATGCATGTCCCTATTTTACAACTGCAGATGAATTTTATACAGCATTAGTTTATAATTTCAAAAAACATTACACAACTAACAGGGCACCATTTCGGATTTCTCTGCAAGCATCATGGGTTAAAAAGCATGGGGTTGTGCAGGTTATTGAGGTATGAAAGAATTTAAAAAAAAGATACGTGTAATTATATAAATACGCTATTGAATTGAAACTTCTTCAAACACACAAACATACCGGGATAGGAGTTAAGGAATTGGTTTAATGGCAGTGGTGTTGTCGAGCCGGAACCCTCCGTAACGTCGTTCCGGTACTTTCTTTTTGGACAGTAACGCGTTCCGGAACTAAAGATGATTTCTGATAACGAGAATTGGCTGACGTATTGAAAAAAAAATTAAAAAGAATTGCTGATTTTTTTCTAATTTTTGACGAATTTTTATATGTATTATTATAAACAAGGGTTTGAACCGAACCCGAACCGTAACAAAAACCGGAACGAACCTGCTTATTTTTCCGAACCGTGTGTCCTTGCTTTTTAAGTCTGTAATATCTTCGAAAAATTTCATTTAAATTATATGCTGTAAAGGGCCATATTGATCTATATTAAATGCACAATGTCTTTAAAAGTACTTAATTGGATAAGAATTAATGCTGTATTTCTTAAAATCGCTTCGTAAATAAGCCATTATTTCTTATAAAAAGTAAAGGATAAAAAATGGTTATTGTGGGTTATCCCTAAGAGATAGAGATATACCATCACAATGTAGACCTTTTTAAGGTGTACAATACTGTAGTATATTTTGATCTATCTCGTAGGGTTCAGCCAGCATTTGCAATGTAAGCGCAAAAAAATGTGTTTATTTACGACATCACATTACAAACCTCTAAAATTATCAGTGTTTCTCTACTATATTATGCATGTGTTATACATATAAACCTTCCTATTGAATTACTCTATCTATTAAAAAAACCGCATTAAAATCCGTTGCGTAGTTTTAAAGATCTGAGCATACATAGTGACAGACAGCGGGGGAAATGAGTTGCATGATTTCGTTACATAGCAACTCGCATGAAACGAACTTACTCTACCGTGCGTAAAGAAGTTTCACTTCAAAAAGTAAAGGTTGTCATCAGATTTATTCAATTTTGAAAAGGTTTCTGTATCTTCAGCACAACAAAAAGTTTTAAAATTACCGTAAAGATAAAATCTAAAGAATAATTTTAATGTTATTTATTTAAAAGTTTACTTAACTTACCCATTAGACCAAAATGTTAGCAGGAGACCAATTATCTATTTTAGAAATTCAAAACCTTAACTTCAAAGTGGAGTTATAATTTCAGTTATCCTGTTGGTCGTCAACAGAACCTCTCATAAACGATGCTTCAAACTTTCTGATAAACAACTGACTTTTCTATTTGTTTAGTTTTTTATAACGAGATATTTGCACTTTACTTCACAGAGGATGTGCTTTTTGCTAATTGCACTGATTCAAAAGAAAACCTTTTTAAATTAAAAAAAAAAAAAGAAAAAAAGAAACAATTCTATGACAATTTTTTGTAGGAAACAGAATAACAAAACGTGAATTTTAAGGTGTTGGGAGTATAGCTTTTCACGTTGTTTTAAAATAAAATACCGGAAAACGTAGGCCAAATTTAATGGTCAAAAACACAGAAATTTTAAAAGCAATTCAATTTTTATTTTAGAGATTTATAGATGAAGTTCTACGTCTACCAAATGTGTGGTTTGTTACGAATTGGCAACTAATTGAATGGATGAAGCAACCAACACCAATAGAAAAGCTTCACAGTTTTAAACAATGGCAATGCCAAAGGAAGGTTACTTCTTTAGACAAAGCATGCGATCAACCAATTGCTTGCAAACTGTACAGCAATTTTTTTAACAAACAAAAGTACTTATATACCTGTCAGGAGTGCCCTAAAGTATACCCTTGGTTCAGAAACGAATTTGGAATTGACTAGATCAATGTAATTCATTTTATTTGTGTATTCGTACCTATTATTATAATAAAATTATTTATTTTTTTAAGACACTCATAATTAATAATAATTTAATAATGTATTGTGCATCTATGTTTTTTCTTTCAAAATGTGTATCTACATTCTACAGGGTGGTCCAAAAAGTACACCATACGCTTGTCGTAGGTAAACTATGTTTAATCGAAAAATTTTTCAAACAAAACTTTTTTATTTTAATACAAGATCGTCTGCAGTATTTAAATTTGATTTACAATATAGGGTGTACTTTTTTTAATGAACATTTATAATGGTAAAAGTAAATTATTGTAAAGTAAAAAAAAAGCAAATACATTTTAATAAGTTGATAAATTGTAGAAGAACTACAGACTTCAAATTAATGAAGAAAAATTGTCGCTCATTTTACGCCCTCGCCGGGAATCGATCTCTCTGGCTTTACGCACCATTCCTCTCTCACTAAACTACGAATGGTACAATTTTTTCTTCATAATTTGAGGTTATCTGTGATGGTAAAAATTAATTCATCTCGGTAAAAGTTATTTACAATCTTTAAACTTTTTCCTGTGGAGTTATTTACAAAAATTAATTTACATTCAGGCAATTAATGCTATTGAGTAATTAAACGATAAAGTTTTAAATTTAGTGCATACAATTCAAAATACTGTAAATTTTGCGCAAATTTACAATTCAGTAGTTTTGCGTTGTCAGGCGTGTATCAATGCAGTTTGAACTTGTGGTAGTAATAATTTTCAAATATGCCGTTCAGTTATGAACCATGCCAACTGGAAAGTTAAGGGTGCGTACCGCTCGAACCGTCATGTTGATTAATAGATACAAAAAAAAAATTTTTTTTTTAAATAACTATAATGGTTGATTCAACGACGAAAATGTTCAATACATAACGAGTTATGCAGTAGATTTGGACATTTGGAGTCAGTAGTGGTAAAGAGCTCCAAATTGGAAGTGCGGTTTAAGATGAATAATGACTAGTGAAATAAGGTGGTTGATTTGATGTTTGAAGTGGAGTTGGAGTTTTAATCAAAAGGGCTNCAATTATAATGGGCCAGGTATATAAATGTGGTTTGTATCAATGACCTTAAACATTGATAAATTATTAATTTTAAATGTTTAAACGTATGGAACTTTTATGTTTTATTTAGTGTTTCATGCATTTTTATTCCATCTAATGGGCTTTTTTATTAATAGTACCTATCAGTACGTTTGTTGTAACCTTCTTTAATTCGAGTAAAGAAGTCCGAAAAATGATTATCCATTAACTACCCACATATTTAAATTATGAAAGACGAGTATCAATCGTAAGGCCTAAGTTCAGCTTGAAAATAAAAAAAAATTATATACTGGAAAAATTAGGGTATGTTTTGAGTTCATACATTTTGTCTAAGGCTACCTTACCTGAAGCACGCTGCTTAATAAGTCTTTTATAGCACACTAAATTAGGTCGAAATTGTGCATTTTTACAAACTTTTCATCGTATGAAATGCGTTCATATTTTTCTACTGTAATATTTCTTTATTTTGGTGTAAACATTGGTCTTTATTGTAACAAAAGCGTATGGCCTTAAACACTTTTTAATTTTTAATAACATTTTCTTATTACATTTTCTGCTATTGCGAAACTAAATTACTTATGTGTATATATATGAATATTGTAGCATTCCAGAATGTAGGAGTATGTACATACTTGAAGGAAGTGATGCAATTCATCTTGTACTTCTTTTATTCTTGTCTTATTCACGTTGAAACATCTTGCAGTTTATTAAGGTGAGATTGTATACCAGAATTGAAATACCTATCAGATTAAAATTAAGAAATAGAGGCTAGCTGTTAATGACATCTAAAGCTAGAAATTTTTTCTAAAAACTTCTGTGGTTTTAACATTACTGTTTGACATTCTGTTCGGTACGGCATTTTTAACTTTTGAAAATATTTGAAAATTGTGCGATTTATTTCACAGGAATTTTAACAAAACTCGACTGTGGGAACTTGGACGTTGATTGCAATTTCGTTCCAAATGTTCCATTGCCTTTTTGCCCGCTGAAAACAGAAACAGTAGGGGTAAGTAACAGTATTAAAGATACATATTTATACATTAATTTTAGATTAAATCATAAGAAATTATTTATTTCCAATTATATGTTTCTGCTTTCTAAATCTTCATCAAGAGTAATATTTGTTTACGAATTTTCCCTAAAGCACAAAACAGTTTTACAACCATTTAAACAATAATTTTTCTATTAGTGGTTGCTTATGATACGCTAAAAGCTCTTTATTCGCGGGGTATACGTTCCATAAATATGCCGCAAATACAGAAACCGTGGATATGGAATGGTAATTAGTATGGAATCATAGGGAATACATTCTACGGTTTCAAAATAAAACCAATATGTATTGTCAGAATAAAATCAATTCACTGAGAAATTCGCAGTTACAATTAATCGTTATAATCAGCTTTAGACAATGGTTTAAAAATTTAGTGGTTTTTTCTTCTTTTAAATTTTGAATTATCTACTCGGTTACATCTTTTATAAAAGTTGCCTCGGCATGTACCAACAATACATACTCAAAAGATGCCGATACATTAAGGGGATTCAGTAGTACATGCGCCGTAGAGTAAAAACATGCTTATCGGTTCTAGATATCATAAGTTTAACGTTTGAAACAGAGGTTTGAAATTCTGTAGTAAGATAGACAAAGCTTTGTTCTAAAGCCTGTCGAAGGTTATTTTTTATTATTTTAATTTCTATTGAAAATNAAGACACTTTTAAGATCAACTAAATAGCTAAGCCCAAGGGAAGTCGTTCGGGGAGGCCCTCCCTAATTCCACAAGGGTGAGAAGAAACACACACGATAACGAAACGTTGAATCATGTAGAAGACGTAGGGTAAATGCGAAGCAATTTAGTAAGAATATGCAGTAAGCTAAGCGAAGAGGTAAGCAAGAGAATTGTTAGACTACTACTACAAAAAAGTTATTAGTACTACTAACAAGAAAAAATAACAGCTACAATGAATTCAAATAAGATAAATTAAAATAAGCATGCAAAATAAAAATGAATTCAAATACGATAAACTAAAATAAGCATGCAAAATAAAAATGAATTCAAATACAATAAACTACAAAAACATGCAAAATAAAAAATTAATTTGAATAATATCGACTTAAAGAATTAATTCTATTAGATAGAACATGCAAGATAAAGAACTATTTCAACTACGGGGTCTTCTTTGTCTTCTCCACCGTCGATCTGAAACAGATAGGGTGGTAACAGATTAATAAAGAGCAAGTAAAGTTAACCGTATCAAGTATTCTCACCTTAATTAACTGTAGCCTGTAACGTTCCAAAGTTTGCTGGTGTGAAAACAGAAAACTTGTTGTTTCAGTGGAATGCAAATAAATCTCCTCTTGCTCTCATTCGTCTGTTGAAAATTAATTGCAGAATGTTCCTAGGTGAAGACGAAAAAATTGTCCAGGAATAACAACACCATTGTAGACATTGGCTGTTTCAGTACGATAAACCGCAACTTTAATTATCTCTCATTTATTGGGTAATCTGCATAAATGGACAAAAAGACATATTAATTACACTAATCATTAAGGAAGAGATTAAACACGCCTGAAAGCAGGCAAAAGAAAAAAGAAATATAAATGTTGCGAACTTCGAGACAGGAGAAATCAACATTAATAAATTCACATTGCAAGTTAAAATTGAAAATTATAACTAAATTTGTTAACTTGGTATAAGAACGCTTCGCTTGTTTATTTTTTTAATACTTTTTCAAGTAGCTTTGTATGTATCGGTCAATCTGTAGAAATAAACAACAAGAACCGATTAGTTACACTCTCAAATAAGTAAAATATGAATGAAATACAATAAAAACAAGCACCAAAAGCAAGTTAATATCTAAGTTGAATAGCGTGGCGTAATTTTAAATCATGACATAGATAAATGCTAAAGGCAATAGAAATAATCATAGACGCCTGATAAAGTCAAAATATGCATTGTACAATAGATAATTGTTAGAAAAAAGCCATTGATGCTGGATAATGTTAGTTTATGTTGTGGACAATAAGGAAAATAAACAGTTAAGATTGAAAACAGCTTACCTAGAGGTACAGTGATCCAGTTTTATTCTAGGAGGAATGCCACAGCAGAAAGCTTGTTTCAATCGAATTCAAGCAAATCTACAGCTGCTCTCGCTCATCAGTTGAAAATTGACTACATAATGTTGCAAGGTGAAGACTTCAACAGCCAATCAAGAATCAAAAATCAAGTCCAGAGAAAACATTGTAGGCATTGGTTGTTTCGGTATCATCAAAGTTAACTTCAATTCTTTCTCATTTGTTGGCTGTAGAAATGGAGAAGAACTAATTAACACCACTATTAAATTAACATTATATGAAATTAAACAAAGACGGACTTAAAAGCAAATAAAATTATAAAGTGCCACTAATTCTGCTGTGCTCTTACACCTACAGATGAAAGGAAAAATAATTATCTCAAAATGTACCATTAATAAGCAAAATAATAATCTTTTATGTTTAAAAACGAAATATTTAATAAAAGTTATTCCTCGTTACTTACCAATTCTCTATCGTGAATCCATTCGTTAGCAACAGCAACACTGCATATGTACCCAATCAAAAAAAGGCACTTCAACGCCGCCGCTACATCTCTGAACAAAAAAGGACTGAAATGACGAATGCTCCGTGACACATCTGGAATTTTTAAGAACAAACGTGTATGTTAAATTAAAACCGAACTCTTTTCAAAAGCTAATTTGTACCGATTTAATTAATTCCTTTAACTCATTCAAGAAAGAGATATACAAATTCAAGTTTGTTACCTTTTTGGAATAAAATAACGGACATTATACCGGGTGTGAACAACTTGTGGCATACCACATTGATACGTTAAATAGGAACTTTATTTTGAATAATAGTTAGAATAACTGTTACATTGCTAAAGAACGAGGATAATGACAATTCAATGATAATGTATTTATTTATTTAGACACGGAATATACATTTATTACAACATACGACATTGGTTTAAAATAACTGCATAATACACAATACAAACATAATATTTATGAAACAATAGTTTCTAACGACTTATAAAAGTTAAGAAACAAAATACCTGTAAGAGAAAGACAAGAAAACAAATGAAATATCAATTTAAATACAATTAAATACGTTATTTTATTTATAAATTGTCATATTATTTCAGTGCGAGATTAGGGAGAAAAAAGTACCCCTAACCATCTGTGGCCTCCACATCTCCCCTTATAGCCACCCTATCCACCCTAATTACTTCTAATTATTGAAATTACTAACAAAGTTCACTTTCATATAGACAAATATGCTCAAAAAAAATAATTTGTAAAAGTTTTAACTATCAGCTTAAGTAGGATTATTATAATATGACAATTTATGTAATAAAAAAACAAAATAGCTGTAAGAGAAACACAAAAAAACAAATGAAATTTCCAAAAAATACAATAAAAAGCAAAAAATACGATGTCTTCATTCTTCTCAGGGAATACCTCATTATCTGGAAGAACATTATGTAGTCAATTTTCAACTGATGAGCGAGAACAGCTGGAGATTTGCTTGAATTCGATTGAAACAAGCTTTCTGCTGTGGCATTCCTCCTAGAATAAAACTGGATCACTGTACCTCTAGGTAAGCTGTTTTCAATCTTAACTGTTTATTTTCCTTATTGTCCACAACATAAACTAACATTATCCAGCATCAATGGCTTTTTTTCTAACAATTATCTATTGTACAATGCATATTTTGACTTTATCAGGCGTCTATGATTATTTATATTGCCTTTAGCATTTATCTATGTCATGATTTAAAATTACGCCACGCTATTCAATTTAGATATTAACTTGCTTTTGGTGCTTGTTTTTATTGTATTTCATTCATATTTTACTTATTTGAGAGTGTAACTAATCGGTTCTTGTTGTTTATTTCTACAGATTGACCGATACATACAAAGCTACTTGAAAAAGTATTAAAAAAATAAACAAGCGAAGCGTTCTTATACCAAGTTAACAAATTTAGTTATAATTTTCAATTTTAACTTGCAATGTGAATTTATTAATGTTGATTTCTCCTGTCTCGAAGTTCGCAACATTTATATTTCTTTTTTCTTTTGCCTGCTTTCAGGCGTGTTTAATCTCTTCCTTAATGATTAGTGTAATTAATATGTCTTTTTGTCCATTTATGCAGATTACCCAATAAATGAGAGATAATTAAAGTTGCGGTTTATCGTACTGAAACAGCCAATGTCTACAATGGTGTTGTTATTCCTGGACAATTTTTTCGTCTTCACCTAGGAACATTCTGCAATTAATTTTCAACAGACGAATGAGAGCAAGAGGAGATTTATTTGCATTCCACTGAAACAACAAGTTTTCTGTTTTCACACCAGCAAACTTTGGAACGTTACAGGCTACAGTTAATTAAGGTGAGAATACTTGATACGGTTAACTTTACTTGCTCTTTATTAATCTGTTACCACCCTATCTGTTTCAGATCGACGGTGGAGAAGACAAAGAAGACCCCGTAGTTGAAATAGTTCTTTATCTTGCATGTTCTATCTAATAGAATTAATTCTTTAAGTCGATATTATTCAAATTAATTTTTTATTTTGCATGTTTTTGTAGTTTATTGTATTTGAATTCATTTTTATTTTGCATGCTTATTTTAGTTTATCGTATTTGAATTCATTTTTATTTTGCATGCTTATTTTAATTTATCTTATTTGAATTCATTGTAGCTGTTATTTTTTCTTGTTAGTAGTACTAATAACTTTTTTGTAGTAGTAGTCTAACAATTCTCTTGCTTACCTCTTCGCTTAGCTTACTGCATATTCTTACTAAATTGCTTCGCATTTACCCTACGTCTTCTACATGATTCAACGTTTCGTTATCGTGTGTGTTTCTTCTCACCCTTGTGGAATTAGGGAGGGCCTCCCCGAACGACTTCCCTTGGGCTTAGCTATTTAGTTGATCTTAAAAGTGTCTTATACACTTTTCGCGAGTCTACTCTAGCGTTACTTCCTTTCAGACAGGGTACAGTGGGTTATCTGGAATAGGAGCAATAGGCGACTGCCCAGCTTGCCTTGGCGAAATCTGTCCGATCTTCTCTACCAAANATTGATGCTGGATAATGTTAGTTTATGTTGTGGACAATACGGAAAATAAACAGTTAAGATTGAAAACAGATTACCTGGAGGTACAGTGATCCAGTTTTATTCTAGGAGGAATGCCACAGCAGAAAGCTTGTTTCAATCGAATTCAAGCAAATCTACAGCTGCTCTCGCTCATCAGTTGAAAATTGACTACATAATGTTGCAAGGTGAAGACTTCAACAGCCAATCAAGAATCAAAAATCAAGTCCAGAGAAAACATTGTAGGCATTGGTTGTTTCGGTATCATCAAAGTTAACTTCAATTCTTTCTCATTTGTTGGCTGTAGAAATGGAGAAGAACTAATTAACACCACTATTAAATTAACATTATATGAAATTAAACAAAGACGGACTTAAAAGCAAATAAAATTATAAAGTGCCACTAATTCTGCTGTGCTCTTATACCTACAGATGAAAGGAAAAATAATTATCTCAAAATGTACCATTAATAAGCAAAATAATAATCTTTTATGTTTAAAAACGAAATATTTAATAAAAGTTATTCCTCGTTACTTACCAATTCTCTATCGTGAATCCATTCGTTAGCAACAGCAACACTGCATATGTACCCAATCAAAAAAAGGCACTTCAACGCCGCCGCTACATCTCTGAACAAAAAAGGACTGAAATGACGAATGCTCCGTGACACATCTGGAATTTTTAAGAACAAACGTGTATGTTAAATTAAAACCGAACTCTTTTCAAAAGCTAATTTGTACCGATTTAATTAATTCCTTTAACTCATTCAAGAAAGAGATATACAAATTCAAGTTTGTTACCTTTTTGGAATAAAATAATTCCGTAAATGTGAACGAAACATCTTCCTATTACAATCTACTGTACTAACTTGGTAATGAACCATGCGTTCAAGCTGGCATGGATTTGCGATTGCTACAGCATGAAGCAGCAATGACGTAGAAAACGTTACGCAGAAGCATCAAATTAGATTTCTGCGACGGTTCGCGCCAGATTATTTGTAATTTAACCAATACCGTTGAGACTTTCAGCCCCGCTTTTATAGAATTGAAAATATGTGTGTTTTCCTTCGCGCAAGTTCCATCGCCTGATAACACTTCTAATAAAAGAGACGGAAAAACTTCGAATGAGCACGCATTCGATATCAAGAAGATAAAAACAACCTTTCCTTTTCAGTAGAATATAAATTATTTAAGGATGAGTCATGAAATGACAGAATAAAACTGTAAAACTGAACATCTTATTCAAAAATATAGTTTAAAATAAGTAGGTATTTTCAATTTGTAATCGTTTAGTCAATTATTTTGTTGTGAGTTGGAATGCAACATAAAATTTAACACAGGGGATTTATTATACAACATAAGGATGCAATAAGGAAGGGGTTTTCAAAATTAAATCATTGAAAAGGTGAAATGGGGCTGTGTTAACTGCAGTTTGTACGAGAAAATGTTAGATAACCCTTTGAACTTCCGGTTTTTTAGGTGTACATATTTATTTTTGATAAAATTTTCAATGAATTTTAGTTTTCAATAAATGAATAAATTTACGAAATCAACAATAATAAATTCACATGACAAAATGAAGATACGAAACTGAATATTGAATTTAAAAATATAATTTAAGTTGTTTAGTTAATTATCTGGTTGCGAGTTGTGATGCAACATAAAATTTTACGTAGGAGTTTCATATGCAACAAAAGGATACAATAAGGAAGCGATTTTCAAAAATAAGTATGTAAAAAGTGAGAACAGAATTTAATTTAATCTATGAAAATGAGCGATATATATACAAACATACAACAGAAATTATTGATGGCAGAAACATAAAATTTGGATAGCACATTAATTTTATACAGTTATGGTTTCTTATTTACGTTTTCATTATTCGCGGGTGAAAAAATTGCAACCCAGTTCCTGTATTCGCGGCTAAAAATTTCATTATTCGCGGATGCAATCGGTAAACAGAAAAGAATTCGGTGTCATTTATTAAGGGGATTTACTGCAATAGACTGCTCGTACCCAGTGTGAATTTTGCTATTCTAAACACTGTGATTTAACGCTATGAGATAAATATCTGATTTTTTGTATGGCAACAGACAAAGATTCACACCAACTCGATACGATTTTGGTTTTCAATAATGTGATCATTAAAAGCTTTTGCAAGCGCTTAAAGTTGATGCCTCTTGTAGAACATGTATTTTCAATAGAAATTAAAAAAATAAAAAATGGCCTTCGACAAGCTTCAGAACAAAGCATTATCTTACTACAAAATTTCAAACCTCTATTCCAAACATTAAACTCATGATAACCAGAACCGATAAGCATGTTTTTACTCTACTGCGCATGTCCTACTGAACTGAAGTTTTTTAAAAGATGTAACCGAGTAAGCAGAAAAGGATTCGGTGTTATTTTTCAATGTATCGGCATCTTTTAAGTACTGTTGGCTCGTGCCTAGGTGACTTTTATAAAAGATGTAACCGAGTGGACTAATTCAAAATTCAAAACAAGAAAAAATCACTAGATTTTTTAAACTCTTACGTAAAGCTNGGACTTTCGATTTTGTAGGTATACATATTTATTTTTGAAAACATTTTCAAACTTTTTTGGTTTTCAATAAATGAATAAATCCACGTTAAAGGGAGTGCAATGGTGGTTGAAGTTTAATGTATATTATACAATAAATATGAAATACTGTTTGTTAGCATCACCTTTTTCAAATATTCATAATGGTCTGAATATGGTTTTAGGGAAAGAAAAGTTGCCCTAAGAATTGGAAAATGTGGAAAAAACTGAAATTCCATTGATGAGGTTTGCTTAATAATTATTTACTAAATTTTCCACTTACATCCTGCGATGCGAGCGGGTTATAGTTAGTCTAATTGAGTCTCTAGGTATATTATATTCAAAATATTAGTTGATGAACTAGTAAACTTGATACAAGGAGACTTGAATCTTGAAGAAACTCTTGTACAAACTATAGTGGTTGGATTGGCTTCTCGTTTCAATAATTTATGGAGCCGGATCGTAGGTTCAACCATAATAGAGGGGTTCTTAAAGTGAAACCAAACTAAGACAAGTCAAATGATTTCATCCTTTGAGATAAAGCACTCCAGACGTAAACTAATCTCCCATTTGGATGTCCGAGCGGGGTCTACTTCAGTGAACGTCATCAAGCCCAATAAGGCAAGCAGGAAAATTAGAAAATTTGAAAGTAGAGATGAATAGACTAGAAGTAGATATAGTAGGCATTAGTGAAGTCCGTTAGCCAGAAGCTGGAGACTTTAGAATAACACATACATGATCGGTGGAAGATTCGGGGGTAGAAATTGTAATGAGTAAGAAATCTGGACAGAGTGTAGAAAGTTATTCACCAAAAAAACGATAGGATAGTTATGGTTAAATTACACTCGAAACCGATAAAAATAGTAATAGTGCAGGTGTGTATGTCTACCTCATCTTACATTGATGAAGACGTAGAAGTAATATATGCCGATATGGAAGACGTGTTAAGTTTAGTTAAAGGACAGAAAAATCTACCAGTTGTTGAATACTTCCACGCAGTAATAGGTGAAGGTAAAGAAAGAAACAGGTACTTTTGGATTAGGTAATAGAAATGGTAGGGGAGATAGAATTTTGCGATAAACATAAATTAACCATCGCGAATACTTTATTTAACTACCATGTTAGGAGGCGCTATATGTGGAAGATTCCCGGTGATTTAGGAAGATATCAGTTAGATTACATACAAAAATCAGGTGAAGCATTGCGGGAACAGATATAGATAACGATCATAACGTAGCAGTTACGAAGACTAATTTTAAATTCAAAATTCCGAAGAGGAGTCATTTAGTCTTACAATAATAGTTTACAATGTGATAACAAAATGTTTAGTAGTAAGGAATTCTGTTGATTACAAAAGTTTTTGTTACATTTGTACAAATGAATAAGTGAACAAAATAATTCAAATAATACGTATGCTCCTATGCGTCTTCAAATTCTTTCTACCATACTTAGGTATTGTAATTAAAAATGATTACGACGAACGAATTAGGGATACTATTACATTAAGAACAAATGACAGAATAAAAATGGATGGATGAAACAGCAAAAATAAAATATAAATTATAAATGACAAGTACCTCATAGCAAAATGGAAATGGGGGCGAATTAAATTAATTAATTAAAGTTATACATACACATAGATTTAAGTTGAACGCTACTGTAAATTGGCTGAATTGTTTTTTATTTTCAAAATCGTAATGAAGAAGAAGAAGTAGCAATCAATGATATGGATTAACCTAACTTTTGTGCAAGTCTTTTCTGTACATTAAACGTATCTATAAAAGTTAATGACTTAAACAATTTAACTAAAATGGTCATTTGCAAATATTTTCTGCAAGGGAATTGTCGCTTCGGAACCAGTTGTAAATTTGATCACAACATTGGAGGTATGTTATTAATTTTTATGTAAAGTTATAGCTTTCTCATTGTAACAATGTTATTACAGACAATATTCAATCCTATACATCAGTGTTAAGACAACAGAATGCCTCTCAAGCAACTAACGCACCAAACATTGATATTAATATGTTGGTACAATCTGTCTCGAATGATATGCAAGCAGCAGAAAAAGGGGGCCAGTGGCTATTTTCCTGCTATGCACCCTTCAAAGAGAAAAGTAATTTTCCTGGTTTTGAAGATAAAAGCTTTGAAGAATTAAGACTTGCTTTTTATGAAGCTCAAAAGAATGGAACTTTAGACCAGTATGTAAGTGAGGTTTATCGTGCTTTTTTGTTTTAAATATATAAAGATTAATATTTTAGAAACAACAACTTCAAATGCTCATGCAAGATGTAATGGCAAAAACAAGGGCCTTACAAAATCCTTCAGCGGATGTGGTAAATATAATAAAAAATATTTACAATTCACCATCAAGCAGTAACACCTCGAGTTCATTTGGGAGTTCACCTTTTGCTACAACACAAAATTCGCCTTTTGGGGGGCCCAGATCTGTCCAGACTGGTAGTTTACTTGGTAACAATAAACAACAAAGTCAGACCTTCGGTTCTAATCAGAGCGCATCTCAAGGATTTAGCTCTCAATCTTCAAAGTCCATTTTTGCTCAAGCCAACCAAAAGTTGTTTGGAAACAGTAATGCACCACAACAAAGTTCAATTTTTGGAGGAACACAGCAAGGAAGTGGATTTGGACAAGTCAATTCAAACCAAGGTGTATTTAGAAGCAATTTAGTTCAACAAAGTCAGCCTCAAAATTTAGCTTTTAGTAATACAGGAACTTCTCACCCTTTTGCTCAAAATTCTCCATTTGCAACTTCTCAGTTCCAAACTCAGTCAGTGGCTGGTTCATCCCCTTTTCAAGCGGCTTCTCAACAACCTTTTGGTGCTCAAGTCACTCAAAATTTTAATTCCAATAAACAGTTTGCAAATGCTACAACTTCCTTGAATACCCCGACTTCTGTATCTTCGTTTACAAATCAACAGCAAAATTCAGCTTTTAATAACCCAAATCAAAATATTTTTGCTTCCCAAGTTCAAAATCAAATACAACAGCAGATGCTTAGTGGTCAACAAATTAATGTAAATCAAAACCAAGCTTCATTCAGTAACCAAAATCAAACTCAAAACATACCACCTTTCAGTAATCAAAGCCAAAATCAAAATCAGTCTTCATTGTTTGGTAATCAAAATACAAATCTAGGAGGATCTACGACTGGTAAGGCGATCGCTCAAACAGCAACTCCTTTTTGTTCCACTGCACCTGTTCATTATCCAAATAGTCAGTCTCACTCAAGTAGTATTTTTAGTTCTACACAAGGGAATACTGTTGTCGAAAATGAGAGGGAAGAAAGTTTTTATTCCAAGCCACAAGATTTAAGTGAAGATGAAAGAAAATGTTTTGAAAGTAGCGAATTTGAGTTTGGTAAAATTCCTGAGAAACCACCTGCCATAAATTTTTGTTTTTAATAAGTGACGCGTTTTTGCATCATAAAAATACTATTGTGATATTTTTTTTTTAATTTTTGGCGTAGTATAAGTTTCATACACATATATTTTAAAAATGTACAAATGTATTTTGACTATTATTGTTGTGAATTAATTACTGTATTAGACATTGAATATAAAATATTTAAATAAAGAAATTACTATTAGATTTAGCATTTATTTTATGTATTTATTTACTCAACAAAATCAGTAAAATTTTTTCCAATTAAAACAGGTGAAAAATGATCACTAATGTATTCAAAATTTCTCTACTACTGTTTTGAGCATTGCCCATTATCAAAAGTATATTACTTTTATTTTCGTATTACCTACCAATTATACACTTGATAGCAATTTTGTGATTATTTAATAGTTTATTACAGAAATAGAATTAAACAAAGTGCAATTGTTAGATATTAATGTAACATTCCAATAATATAAATTTTGTTAAAAATATAAAAGTAAAAAGTGGGCCAAATTGATTATAAATATTTTGACGCAGTTGAATTAGGATTTGAACGGGTGCCAATTTTTATTCATGGTATCAAGAATTATGTTTTTTGATACTGAATTTAGTATTTATCACGTTAAACGTAATTTACTAATTATTGAAATATGGCAATTTGTAAATTTATTTTGGCACCCATTCAGATCTAAACTTTTATCAGCAAAGCGAGTGCCATCCTTTTTGCACGCCTCAAAGAGGCATTAAACTATATGTGTAAGATAATAAGTATAAGAAATTAAAGTGCTAATGTAGGTAGATACTTGAAACTATATGATTCCACCTGGACAAAAATTGAAGATTTATAGTTTATGGATTTTTCCCAAGGATTGGACGTCTTGTTATGGTCAAATGTAGCTTTTATACGGATTTAAGAATACACAATTGTCACATGACCAAGGCGACCTTTTTGAACTTTTTTGGGGTACAATTCTGGAAGAAGAACTAACCCATCGTTAATAAATGTAACAATTTGTTTTTATCTAGAACTCCAATTCTATAGTTTTACAAATAGGTATTCGATTTTTTTCCCAAAAAAGTACAAATTATTACATTAGTTTAGGTTACGTAAGGTTAGGCTATTTTAGATGTGCTTATTTTTAATATTCGACTGCATGCGATCAAAAGAACGTTTTTTAGTCATTTTGTAGCTGCACATTCTAAGATTGGTGCTTACACGCGTCCAAAGCTGTACAAAAGCTTCATTGCGAGCTTTGATCGTAACGAAACATTCAATTCTAGAATTAACCGCAAAATACAGCCAGTAGCCATTTTGGATTTTGCACTCAATATATGCCCCTAATGATCTACCTTACAGTCAACTTTCAAGTTTCTAAGTCACCTAAAGGTGGTCCACATTTTTTAAGACTGTTACGAAATATATTTAAAGTATGCCAGTTAAGCCAGATAAATAATAATTAATTTTTAGTTTACTGTTCATAAATAGTTATAAGGATGTGGGATGTTCTGGTTTTAGGGAAATGCTCAGGATAGGAAAGAGTGGAGGTGCATGTTCAACCAGTCTTAGGACAAATGACTTTATATGATGATGATGATGATGATAGCAAACTGTGGTAGTCAAATATACGAAAAAAAATTTATCACATTAAACATTACCTTCTCGTATGGATTAAGGGTGGATGAAGTGAAACAAGAAACCTCTCAGTAAATTTTCTTGTGGTAAATGACGGTGACTTCGTTTCTTTAGTTCTGAAACAATTACATCTGGATAGTCTTTGGTCATATAAACATTGAAAAAAAACTATATTAGTCTCTAACTGACGATGACAGCTTGGATATAGTGACGCGTTTTAGGCTTCTTAAGCGTCATTGTGAAATTTTGGATTTTTAGTGTTTTTTTTATGAAAATTTTTACTATACGTATAATCAGTACTTTTTTATCAAAATATTAGTACTTTAGAAAAAACAATTACAAGTTTTGCTGTTTGAAATTAAGTAACATACGAGCTCTAATTTTCGTTTGAAGAAAATTTACCATATTTAGGCACCTAACAAAGGCTTACTTATATGTAAATATTAAAAACAGATATGTAGATACTTTCGTACATTTGATTTAGCCTGTACTCGAAATATATTAAATTATCGTTTCTCTTATAACAATTTAATGTTTTGGTCGAAGCATTTAAAATCGATAAAAACGGTTCATATATTAGATAAATACTTACATTAAACTTCCATTTAATATAATTGTACTTATATCATGATATGGACAAAACGCATCAAAAACCTATTCATTTATTCGTTGCTGTCCTTGAATGTAATTTCAACGTGAAGAATTAAATCACTTTTCTTTTGAATACAAAACTGACAAGTATACTATTACGTATACGTGTTTTGGTCATTAAAATTACATCTAATTAATTCTCTACGTATTTACTCGCAAGTTTATTTTTTAGCTTTATTATTGTTTGTTAATAGAAGTTAGTGATACAGGAAGACTATCAGTTACGCTTTGAATGGCGTGCATTTATGTATTATTGATAACGCAATACCATTGTGATTTTCCGCATTAACAGGTGAATCTTGAATAGATAAGAACAATAAGAATTGTGAAAGTTATTTATTGTTTCGTCAGGTAAGAAAACATCTTCCAATTATCAACTATATAACATAACGTTACCAATAAGTATATAATTAATTTTGGCTATCGCCTTTTTCTTAAGTCATTGTTCATCTGATCTTTGTATTTTTAAAAATATAATTGCAAAAATTATATGAGAAACCATTCGCGAAATCTTTTTGTGCAATTGCAACTCAACCAAAACGATTTGAAATGTTTATGGGAACAATTATTGTTTATTTGATTTTTAATAGGCAAACTTTAAATAAATTTTGTATAAACAACCAACAACTAACTAAATAAGAAACTGGATAATTTATCTATATAGGAAACTCCAGAAAAAATGATGGGTTATTTATCATTTTAACAATTATATTCGCTGTGTTCCACTAATTTCCAGAAATTCCTCTCATTATTAAATTAATAATAGTCAGAAGTGTAATAATCAAAATGAATAAAGTTAACTATCAATTAACTAGACTACATCTAAACTGATGAGGCTGATAAATGAATTGAGATCTGAACGGGTGCCAAGTTTCATACAAGGGGTAATAAAATTACGTTTTTTGACGTTGAATTTAACTTGGCAAGTTTGTCACGTTAAGCGAAATTAACTGAAAATGAGCATTAAAACTTGCCAAATTTTAAATCTATTGTTAAGAACGTAATTAGATTACACCCTGTGTGAAACTTGGCACCCCTTCAGATCTCAAATCTTTTATGACTAAAGCAGAGTATCTCGAATATCGTTTGTGCTAGACTGGGCCCTATTTTTCACATTTATGTTTTTGGTTAGGTATCATTACTTTTTGAAAAGTTTTATCTTTTTTGCACGTTTCCAACAGACTATGAACTGTATGAATTACCTTTTTTTATGTGGAATTTAAAGTGTGACAAGTTTCAATTTCAATAAATCATGTTTATGAATTAGAAAAACTGTCGAATGTGAAACTTGAACCCGCAATCTATCTTGCTGTCAGTTGTTTACCTAGAGGTAGGCCACCAATAATTTGTTAAAAATTGATAATTTATAGTTTTTGTAAAGGTATCCTAATGGTACACCTTGATGGCAATTTTTATTTCTCCAAATCTAGAAGTGGTCTAGAATTTTGATGAGTAGGTCCTTTTTAGGTCGGAATAACTCGAAAACTATCATAGTTTTATTCATGAAATTTAGGACTCTAGGTGTTCGTGGGGGAGTTATTAGGTCTGCAAAATTGTAAGCCTATAGAAGTAATAGTTTCTGAGTTATCAGGGGACCGAAAGTAGCCTGAAATAGTTCATGTAAATTACACACTGCCGTCCTTTTCTCTTTTCCGAACTTGGCTGACACACTGTCGTGTGTCTAGTTATTTAAAATTAGATCTCCAGTAAATGTCACCTAAATTATGCTGTATTTTAAGGAATATTTATTTATTTTTAACGATTTTCTAAGAGGCCGAAAGGTGTAGAAACATTGTAACTGCGTTTTTATAAATGATTAAAAATTGTAGCAGTAAAAGGTAATTTAACACCGGGTTTAAAAGGCTTGTTCACATTTCTAAAAAATCGAGAATGTCGGCATCACAACACATACTGACTGTTTAAGTCCTATTCATCAATTAGTTTTAGTCAAAATTCAGTTTTTTTTAATGTCTGTGTTTTTGATGTGAAACTTCTTTACGCACGGTAGGGTAAGTTTGTTTCATACGAGTTGCTATGTAACGAAATCATGCAACGCATTTCCCCCGCTGTCTGTCCCTATGTACATATGCTTAGATCTTTAAAACTACGCAACGGATTTTAATGCAGTTTCTTTTAATAGATAGAGTGAATCAAGAGGAAGGTTTATGTGTATAATACATGCATAATACAGTACAGAAACACTGATAATTTTAGAGGTTTGTAATGTGATGTCGTAAATAAACACATTTTTTGCGCTTATATTGCAAACGCTGGCTGTACCCTACGAGATAGATCAAAATAATATACTACAGTATTGTACCCCTTTAAAAAGGTCTACAAAAAAGTCCGCGATGGTATATGTCTATCTATCTATACAATAACCGTTTTTTAAATAAATAATGGCTTATTTACGAAGCGATTTTAAAAAATACAGCATTAATCCTTATCTAGTTAAGTACTTTTAAAGACATTGTGCATTTAATATAGATCAATATGGCCCTTTACAGCATATAATTTAAATGAATATTTTCGAAGATATTACAGACTTAAAATGCAGGGACACAGTGCTTGCGGCGGTACCGGTCGGTTTGTATTGTTTAATGAAAAAAAGCTGTGATTGCTGTAAAGACATTCTATAGTATATTTACTGTCAGTATTGCACCCGTGCGCAGCATAGTGTACAAATAATACCATTAAACCAATTCCTTAACCCCTATCCCGGTATGTTTGTATGTTTCACTTCAGTAGCGTGTTGTATAATTACAGGTTGTATTTTTTTTTCAAATAATAGTTTCTTTCTGAACCAAAGTCTTTTGTTTCGATTTCGAGAAGGGTTTCTTTTGTGCCTATGCGTAAAAATAGTGTTATGTATGGCAGTTATCATATTTAAAATATATTGTGGTTATTGAAATACGCAACGTCAGCGTGCAAGCGTACGCAATATCAATAATGTTATCGGAAATTGCATTGTTCTGATATTAATAAGCTTGCTAAGGTTTTTAATGCAAATTGTAACATTAATTATTTTCGTTATTGTAATTCAGTTGTTGCTCCACCGTTAACTCGTAAACATCTCGATTGGAAATTAATAAACGAACATAGTGTGTTATTGTTTTCCTTTAGACGGAATTGCAGCTCATGCTTTTGAGTCAGTCGAATTTCTACATTAAAAATATAAAAAAGTATCTTTAAAAAGTAAATTCGGCGGCGGAAAAGATTAACTTGGCACTGTAATAAATCTCAGTCGATTAAATGTGTNCAAAAAAAAACTGATGTTTTACTTTGTTATCCACGTAATACTTGAAATAAGAAAAAAATTGAAAATTCTGTTTATCAGATAAAAAAAAAGGAAATAAAAACACAAAAATTTCACAATGCTATTTTTAGCAGTATCTATACCTAATTTCTAGTGAAACGCTTGATCGATTGATGTAATCTAACTCTTAGTTATGTAGTAATAATTATGACTTTTTAAGGAATGTAGCGATAGCTCAAATAAAAATTATACTCAGAGGAGAATAAACAAGCAAAACATCCAAATGAATGCTATAAACTAAGAAACTTCTTAAAAACCTTAATTAAAAATTAAAAGGAATACTCTACTACTTTTTAATCTATACATCGAAGACGCCATCAACATCATTAAAGACAGTACAACTGTAGGGATAGATGCGCAAGGGCAAAAGATTAGTATGCTTAGATTTGCAGATGATATAGCAGTATTAGCATCTAGCAAGGAGAATAAACGAACATAGTGTGTTATTGTTTTCCTTTAGACGGAATTGCAGCTCATGCTTTTGAGTCAGTCGAATTTCTACATTAAAAATATAAAAAAGTATCTTTAAAAAGTAAATTCGGCGGCGGAAAAGATTAACTTGGCACTGTAATAAATCTCAGTCGATTAAATGTGTACATAAATTGGTTAGGGTTGATAGCAAGAAGGATGTCAAAAGTCATGTATTGTGATGTACAGGTCCATCGAGGACTCAACGCGTTTAATTTTGATGCCCCAAAAATGTTTAAACTTTCATTAGGAAATGCGTCATTTAAATGAATATTTTCGAAGATATTACAGACTTAAAATGCAGGGACATAGCGGTTGCGGCGGTACCGGCCGGTTTGTATTGTCTAATGACAAAAAAACTGTGAATGTTGTACCTATATAAAGACATTCTGTAGTTTCGGGTTGTTCGGAAAGTCATTTCGTTTTTTCCCGACAGAGGATTTAATTGTATTCTTTTGCACCCAACTTCACATTTAAGCCGTATAATTTTTATATGCTTTAAGAGCTCATATAGCAAGGCTTGTGTGTGAAAAATTCCAATTAATTCTACGCAGTAGTTTTTGGTTGGTGCCCTTTTAAATATGGAGAGCGATAAGCAGCATTTTCGACATATCTTACTGTTTTACTACAGAAAGAGTAAAAATGCCGTTCAAGCCAGAAAGAAATTGACTGATGTGTATG